GTAACAAGTGATCCAATTATTTCCCGTAGAATTGGAATTCACAGCCACTCATGAGTTGTTCAGTTCATTCAAAGACCACAAATTGTTCGTAAATGAAAATTTTTTTTCGTGCTCATGAATTCCAAAATGCGCTCGGAATCATTTGATTACCTGCAAGAAACGCATATATTCGGTGCTTACAAAAAAAGTGGATCTAAATGACACTGTATACGCAAATGTACTGAATAACTGATCCATTATGCTACGAAAAGGAAGATACGCTCAGCGGTTCCCCTTGATTGTACGGTGTTGATACAGAGAGGAAACTAATCCATACAAAGGTTTAAGTTACATCTTAATCACGGAAGAGAAATACTCTTTTAATTGATGAATCTATTTGTTCCAAAGGGCTTAAGAGGACAATAAGCCGGATAACTGATATGAGACAGCCATATTTACTACGATTACTCTTCAGATTTAAGCAACCTGATTTACTTCTTACAAAGCCCATGGAGTTGACAACATCCCCATGAGAACCATTAAACCACGCGAGCCCTAACCTCCTTTTAGGTAGTGGGTTTTTCCCGGACCCCCTTCAAATAGCGAAGGTTTTTTTCCGTTTTTTAAATCTGGTGATCCTGAAAGGTTTGAAACTCAATGATCTATCTCCATTCTTTTCGCCTTTTCTAAACTTTGTGAAAAAGTAGCCTACAATCCGCGTATGTTGAATTTTAAATTCATTACATTGTTATAAGCGGTAATGAGTTTGACTCGCAGAAATCACTCTGCCTTAATAGCCTCGATTCAATGAGTTAATAACATCGCTTCTGCTGTAGGCAACAGAGAGACGACAACTGTCAAAGTTTTTCAAGATATCCTTAATAAAGCTTTTCATACTATTTCCGCTACCTATTTACCCTTTAACTCCCAAGATCTTATTAGTAATTCTCCTTACTGTCTGCCATACAGTTCTTGTGATGTTAGTTTGGAGAAATTGGTATTGGATCAATTTATAATCCCCTAATTGATACTTTTCTCTACTCTCATCACTTGTATGCTTGAAATTATATTGATATTGTAATGAGAAATTCTGTCTTGGTCACTCAGTACGTTCAGTTTTGTAGAGCTTGCTCGCAAATGAAACCATTTACATGTGGTATCCTGCAAAGATCAGGCTTAGGCCTTCTCCTTTTTATTATCTGTTATCATATCTGTTATGAATGTATCCCTATCCCAGTTCTTTTAACCCTTTAACTCCCAAGATCTGATTGTCAATTCTCCCCTCTAGCTGCTACACTTTTCCTTGGAAATAAGTTACGAGAATTTGGTGTTAGATCGCGATAACAACTTCTACCCGATAAGTTTGTGTATTCTCATGACTTGTTTGCTGGATAATGTTTAGATATTACAGGGAGAAATTACATGTTAATCACTTTTGGGAGTTAAAGGGTTAATACCGTACGGTCCTCAATTTATCCTTTCAATTTAAACAGGCTATTCCGTACGCAGAAACGTATCGTCAGAATCATATATTTAGTGCAGAGCTGAATACCCTGCTCATACACTGTTTTACAGTCTTAATATCTTCGACACTTTCAAAATCGACACTTCCCTTATGAGGATTGGCGACAAAAAAGAAAACGCACGAGTTGCAAATTTTTCTAACGTAGCACTGAGCTGAATCCTCCTCCAGCGGGCGTTTTTAGAAGCGACATCAAAGAGCGACTGGTGACGAGTGTGAAGCGCAAGGGACTACGGGAAGGTGACGTAAAGAAAGGACGCAACAATCTCTCAAATTTCGCCTCACCACCTTCCCTTGCGCGCCTAGTTTTTACTCGCAGAGAAGTGTATGAGCAAGAGGTAGAGAACATATATCATCCATTACCTTTAAAGATTTACTAGTTGGATTTTCTTGTTGGTTAACTACTGCACCCTTCCCATATCAAATTCATGGGGTACAAATAGTCCTAACATGAATGTAGTGACCACGCCCACTTCAACACCCCACTCAAATCGAGTGTAATTTTCGAATGTTTTACCATCGTGCGGATTCTCTACGGAAAAAGCACTCAATGTACCTCTGAAATATTAAACTATAATATTGTGGCTTTCTATTTCGCTAATTTTCTAACTTGAAGGTAAAGTTTTTCCCTCGTCATTTTTACCTTTTCTCCGAGCGGTTGCGTGAAATTAACAAGGCGTTTTTGATCAAAACACGACCGAGCGAAGGGTCTCGGGCGATATCTCTTTTACGCAGGCGCAAATTTAAAATATACCGCCAGAATCGAAAAGAGGAACAAATTTCCTTTGTTTTGATATGTAAAGTGTCGAACAAATAGCAGATTTACCTTCGTCAAATGGCGTTTCAAAACAGCTGTATCTTCCTCCTTTTGATTTTCTCCTGTTTTGTAAGTGTAAAAGCAGTAGGAGAGGGATCGGGAAACTCAGAAAGCGCTTCGGGAATTTATCTGCCATCGTTTACTTACAAGATAAACAAGTAAGATTTGTGAAGTTCGTTGAAATATGAAGTCTAAATAAATGCCTTTTTTAAGCATGTTTGCTGGATTTTTCGTAAACTTCCCTGATTAATTTTTCGTTTCAGCTTACTAATCTATACTATTTCAAAGCAATGTGAAGACGAAGACGGAGAACCATGAGTCGATCCTTTCAACAGTCGTAAACAAAGTGTTTGAGCAATCAACTTTACGAGGTGTAATAATCAATAGCCGCATATCAGAAGTCTTCAGAAAGAAAGTATTCTGTCTTCAGAAAGCTGTCAAGAAAGCTAGTAATCGTGGCGGAAGGCAATTAAATGATCTTCTTAGCAAGTTGGAAACGGGCCCTCGGTATCGATTTAATACCATATCAATCTCAATATCATACAGTTTGTATCTTTCTTCCGTAGATTCGCTTTTCTAACGAAGGTGTATGTGGAGTATTCATTGCAAAATCGCTTTGTTTTTTATTTCCCTCTTTGGCCTGTCCGCTATTTTGAAAATTCGTAACGGAGAGCAAGCGCATTACGTGGGGTTAGTGGTTGCGTACACCTGGAACCGAGAAAAACAAATGTTCGTCGCGCTGAGGAAAGAGTTTGATATGGAGAGGAAATCAGTTTGAGATTAGATGTTCAGTTTCATTCGAAAACAGTATCAAAGTACGCAATGTTAACTGCTTCTTCTCTCCGTCTTTTTTTCGGATTGTGACCATATGAGAATCATGTATGTGAACTGCGGAAATTCATTACTGCAAAGATCGCTTCCATATTCACATCTTTTTTTCCTTTCTTCTCTCGATTTCTCTCTCGATTTCTTCCTTTATGAGTGGTGCTGAGTGATCAATATCCCTTTTGATCGGATCGAGTGCAACCTGTCCGCGTATAAAACCCCGAGCTCCTCGAGAACAAGTTCGAAAAATCATTGTCTGGCTTACAATCACACATTTTGATTTTTTAATTCAGGAGTAGCCTGAGTTTTTATCTATCTCTTTTCCGACAGCATGAATTGTTTTCTTTCTTTTGTTTGTTGTTTCTCTTGCCCGTATTTGCATGTTCTTCTTTCTAATTGTCTTTCATTTTCCTTAACATGATCATAAATCATATCTAAACGCCTTAACCGGCTTAATCCTTCTGTTGATAATACTTTAAGCGCGCTCGTTAACGTAGTTTTTGTTGAATTATAGAAATTCATATGTGAGGTTTTGAGCTAACAAATCGGGATAGCTGTTATAGCTTTTGGAAAAAACGTGCAATAAACAGAACGAACAAGAAGGAAAACTCTGGCACACAATCTGTTTTTGTGTTCTCGCAACAATTAAGAGCTCTGCGACTTCCTTAATAACACGAAGGGGATGAAACCGGCCGGCAAAAAAAAAAAAAGTTAAAAGGATGTAACCATCATCAGTCAGGCATTAAATCAATTCTCATTTATTTGATGAACAAAAGCGTATTACAACCTTGATTGCTGTGTACAATAATATCCCAGTTACTTCAAAGCAAAGTAAGTTTTCCCGTCTCATCATATACCGACATCCAACGAGGAGAGAAGGCTTGTGATATGCCGGTTAGTTTTAGCACGCAGATGTCGACTGCGCGTTTATTGTATACTGCTCATGCAAATCCCAGGTTTTTGCAACAACTCTTAACTCCAAAGATACGAATTATATTTTGAATCATGATGCGCATAAATATCCTCCTCTGGCATCTTTATTTCTATACATATTATGTTTTCTTGCCCACTCCGCCTTTTACAATAAAGTAAACGCCATGATTAAAAATAAAATTTATATACTTCGTTGGCCATCTATGTTAAGTGACCACTTGATATTTAATCTACGGAGCGTGTTCTTGGAAATCGATTGTGAGTTTTCGATACAAGGCTGGATAAATATTTTTTTGTTTTTGCTATCAGCAGTGATTCTCCTCGGATAACTTAACTTGTTCATTAAAGCAAAAGGCGATTACAGAACAAAGCTAAATATAAAAGTTATTGAACAAGTCCATTTGAAGTGTTATGAAGTCGTCAGGTAAATTGCAACGACAAAAGTTTTCCCTGATTGTCAGTTAACATGTCAAGCTGACACCAAGCTGTCTCTAAATATTTATTTGCTGTACATATGTTTTTTTCTAGATTTTCCCTTTTTCCTAAAATATTATATATTTTTGTTTTTATACCCATAGATCTTATATGAAAGAGTCAGTGGATAAAGCCTGGAGCCTCTGCACATTGTTTGCTATTCTTGACATCTATCGTAGTCTTAAAACCTTTCCTAGGTTTCTCAGGTGTCTTACACTTAAAATGTGCAGCTCTATATGAGCCTAGCTTATAGGAAACACAATATTTTTTACTAATCTTCTTAAGAGACGATCCTCGATCTCCTTAGTGCAGTATAGTCAATTCGTCTTTCATCTAATGCTATCTAACCAACGCATTTCATCTGGCTCATTGTTGTTACGAATTTGACATACTTCTTATCCTTGTGAATGTCGCAGTTTCTGTGATAAACTGAACGGCCGGACATTGATCTCAAGAAACGTCATTCGCTAAGTCGCGAGGTGATAAAGGATTCAACTCTACCACGGCCGGTGAGAAGTTTGAAACAAAAGGCCCTACCTTGGACGGGCGTCGTTGTGACCTCAAGTTGGTACTATCCCTTCTTCGGAACTTCATGATCTTCAACAGTCCCTGTTTAAATTGGCGAACTCTCCAAGCATACAGCAGGGGGTTAACTCCTGAGGAGAAAAACCCCAGGGATAAAGTGATGTCCCTCGCTAACAGAAGATTTTGTGATCGACAATGCGCACAAAATACAAGCACGAAATCTATCACTACAAATGGGAACCACGCAGTGAGAAAAACCACCAACATAACAAAGACCGTGGTTGAAACCCGGCGCTCCTTTTGTACCATTTTTTTCGCCTGCGCAGTTCTTTGACAACGAGACGAAAATCTTCGAAGTTTGGCATTTTTCTTCCTGAGAATTCGAATCAAACCGTAATAGGACGAGAGCATTATGGCAGATGGCAGGAGAACTCCAAAACAGTACAAATAAATCTGAAAGCTTTCTTGACGCCAGCCCAGCAGCGCTAACAGCGAAAAATGGAACGAATAAAGCCACAAAAAGACGACGGAAAGACGCACTCGCTTCTCTGTCACCAAAACACGATAGCGAAACGCCTGGCTGACAGCAATGTAACGGTCTATCATCATAGCGGAGATGTTAAGAATGGAGCTAACACATGACAGCACTGCAAAGATGTAGAAGGCAAATAAGGCGGGCTCACTCCCCGTCCAATAAACAGAGACATTCAGAGGTTCCACAAGGACACCGACTAAAATATCAGCAAACGCTAAATTTGCCACGTAATAAAACGATAAGGTCCGCAGATTTTTGAACGGGTCAATAATATATACGCAACAGACGAGCACATTTCCCACAACGGTGTAAATACCAAACACAATAAAGACCACTGCAAGAGGAAGGCTAACTTTCAGGAGATATCCTTCGTAAAACATGTAATATTTCATCATGAGCTGGTTTTAGAGAAAACTCAACTGGAAATCTGAAATGGCATCTGCGACACTGTGAAGCTCTGAATCAAATTAAGATTGCGCATAACTCGTGTGGGAAGCCCTCACGGAAACCAAAAAATAACACTAAATCGCCTGCAGGTTATACGACATGCAAATGATCGGCAAACAGCAAGCGTAGTTCAATCAGAGATGGATAATGACCTAAGGAGATTAACATACTGGTTTGTCTTTGTTTGGAATTCGCCCATTATGTTATTCGACGGTAACAAAACCGCGACATAATAAGATCTCTTTTGTCCTCAAGTAACAATTATTGTGCTCCAACACCTGTTATAATTTAGGCAAAAAACATGGTTTCTTAGGCAGCTGGTCCTCAGACATGTTAAGAGCCAATATTTTTTTGTTGTTCTTGTTCCTCTTTCAAAGTATAATTTCATAGCTTTCTGGGATAAGTTCGCTCACACGCAATGTTTTTCGATCAGAGCATTCTAGATCTCTCAGCCTTAAAATTTAGATTTATTATGGTGACTTGGCAAATAGAGGATGTTAATTCCTACATAAGGGTTCGGATGAGGATATGACGGAAAAAAGTAAGTTCTTTTTCCCATATCATAAGGAGATGAGTTTAAAACAATGCAATTCATTGTGGTGTGAAATATGTAATTATGGGTTTTAGAGAAGTATGTTTTTAACGTCATTTTTGCATGAGTGCGAATGATTCCACAAGTCTTCCAAAGCGTCAACAACAAAAGCAACAACAGCAAGAGCGAAAAACACACGAAAAACTAAAGAGGAAGTACAAATAATGAAATGAACCAAACCTAATTTCTCTTTGCGTTTTATTATTTAGGGTCTACATATACCAACATGCAAGTCGCTGCTTCGTTTCAAATTTTCCTGCTTTTTTATCAAAGCGCATTAAGCGTTATTGTTTTATATCATTCAATTAAAGCGTATCGTTTAAAGCCTTGCCCAAACGTGATTATTAAAAGAGGTAACTAGCCAGATCTTCGCATTGTTCAACGTACGTTGATTTACGGTGAAAATACTCCAAAAGAAATGAAAAAAAAAAAACCAGTTCATTGATGAAGGCATCGACGTCGCACCATTGGTAAACCTAGTTATTACACCTTGCATTTAAAACAGGCCTCATTTACATGCACGTACATTCTCACATTCGAAGATTTTCCAGCAAGTTGGGAAACAGCACTGATAAAAATTGGTGCGCATCAACTTATCATTCGCAAAAAGATTTTTGCTCGACGTAGAGTTTGTTTCAAAGTAACAACTCTTTAAATTTGTTCTACAAACAGCGTCTAACCTAGAAAAAAACTACCAAGTGTCAAAAAATCTACTTATCCTTTTGCCCAGCGCCAGTTGATAGAAAGTTTGATTGCCAAGCAACGAAAGTAGATATTTTCCGAGGTATACTTCGACACTCAAAGATGCCTCGACATCTCTAAATAAACAAAGCTTTTTGTTTTCTTTCATCTTATTTTCCTTTTAAACCGGAAAAAAAGAAAACGGGGAGAACTTTCGACAGAAGAATCCTACCCTAAGCCAAGTTATTTTATAACTTAGTCAATCTGGATAAAAGTAACGTTCGAGTCCCAACGACGGCCGTAACAACGCAGTTGAACTGCAAACCGAAACTTAATTTCGACAGAAACTGGCTGTCCGTTCAGTCAAGAGTACCATTTCCATCAACAAAGCAAAGTCGTCGCTTTAGAACAAGGAATCCAAACATGACAATCATGTCGTTCTCCTGCACAAATCACGTGAGAAGTCTAGTACTCGTCTTTACTTTCCACTGTCCAACCAACATTAATTCTTTCAGCATGTGATCAGCTTCTATGTGACCTGGTTAATACCCGGTATCCTCTCTACCTAGAAGCCATCACGTGATTTTTTATCTTCCTTTCTTAAGCTTAACGGCACAAAGTGCTCTTCAGCTTTCGATAAACAAAAGCCTTAACAAATTCTGCCTTACTCGTGTAAGGTGTCCTCTATTCAGAAACGTTTTTATACGCAGGATTATAAATTTCATTGGCAACAGAAAAAAAAGGTAAAATTTCAACACCCCATGAAAGTTGTTTCAGCAGTGGTGTCATTGGTCGATAGAAATCGGTAATTGTCGGGTAGTAAAAAATTTTCCAAAGATCTGCGTTTCTAGAGAGCACAGTCATCTTTTCACTTAACCAGAGGTTCTCAGCTCCTTAGATGTTCAAATACGGTTAAAATTTCGTTGCTGTAGCACGGCATTAGCTGCTAATTAAAGCAGCCTAAGAAATAGCAGTATCCCTTTTACTTAAAACAGCGTGCGAACGAGCTGACGCTTGACGTAGGGCAAGAACGAGCAAGCTAGCTTAGCTTGCTTGTTTTTACTTCGGGTTCGTTAAGATTTTTCCTTCAGTCAGTTCTGATTGCTTGTGTTTTGTCACAGGTTTACGATTTCTCATTAGAAATGCGCGCCCCTGTCTCCGTACTAATTTCTGGGGTTTTTAGCCTCAAAATTAAACTAGAGTATTTGGAGCGGTTGTCCTTTTGCCGGCATCAAAATTGGGTAGCCATTCCAGAGCTCATTCGCTTCAAACTTTCTCCCACTTTAACAGACTTTCAAAGGGAAGGAGAGAAGACACTTGCAGTTAAATTCAGTAAAAAGCTGAAAGTCCAAAAACGTGTCAGTTGGCTCCGCTCATCGTGGAATACAGAAAGAATCTTCTCCTCTACTGTTAAAAACTATAACTTTAGTAGCACAACATATCATAACAGTGGGCCATTATTCCGTCTCCTTCGTCTTCACGGTACGCGCAGAAAACCGAGGACTAAACACAGCTGCTTCTTATTTACCAGGGAGACATTTGTAATGTCATCAAAAGTCAAAAATTCATTCAATTCGGTTCCTTAGCCTCTAAGACGCTCGGAACATCTTCATTACAAGACTTATAAGACTGTTTCTGAGTTCGGTGGGGCAGATTGCTGCTGCTTCCTTCGATTAATTGGAGTCGATGGTTTCGACCCGCTTCCCCCACCGCCGCCAGTGCTGAGCTCGTCAGTCTCAATAATTGTATCCTGTCCGAACTTCATGGCACCGTTTGTTATACGATGCGTCAATAAAGGACTAGAATACTGGCCAGGATTAACATCTAACTTGGCCGAGTGTGTGGGTGTACCCGCTTCAGAATCGAGTAGTAACTTGTGCTCTAGCATCGGCGACTTTGGCACTAAGCTATTAAGGTTTTTGTAAGACACTGATTCGGCATTCTCCCGTTTGCTCAGTTCCTCCTTATAGTAAAACTCAAAGTTAGAGACTATGACCGGTACAGGAAGAGCGATGGCGAGTACTCCTGATAGAGCACACATAGCTCCCACTAATTTACCTGCGAACGAACAAATAAGAAGTTTAACTGATGCAGTATTACTAGGCGACAAAATCTGTTTCACTGCAAACAGCGGAAGCAATTAAAACTGTTGCTACTTTGTTAGATAAGCCTTTGGTTTGTAAATTATTCCATAGAGCGGCATTTCTCCTTCGTCTCCCAGTTTTCTCTGAAGTCTCTTTGTTCAACCCTTTCTTTCCCAAGATTTAAATAGTAATTCTCCTTACTGTCTGCCATACAATTCTTACGATGTTAATTCCAGGAATTTAGTATTGAATCAACTGATAATCACCTAATAGATATTTTCCTTTATTCTAATCGCTTGTCTGCTTGTAAGGAGAAATTATGTCTTGGTCACTCAGGGAAGTTGACGAATGTAGTACACAGATTCATATATTGGTTTTAGTCTTTTCATAGAAAGTGTGAGAGAAGTTGAAGTTTTAGGGGCCAAGCGAAGCCACAAACTGCTAACAACAATCTCCAGATCAACTTTCCAAAAATAGAGTTAATAAATTCGTACGCGGCCTAAACGAAACATATTTAGGACATCATACGTGGTCCAATAGCCAACACTACTTACCAAGTGTGGTCTGAGGATACATGTCTCCATATCCTACCGTTGTCATGGTTACAACCGCCCACCAGAATGCGTGTGGAATGCTGGCAAACTTGGAACCCGGTTTATCCTCGGCGTAATACGCGGCGCTTGCAAACAGTATGACTCCAATCACCAGGAAGAGCATTAACATAATCAACTCGTTGACGCTAGCGTACAGAGTTTTCCCTAGCACGTGTAAACCTTTGGAGTGACGCGTCAGCTTGAAGATTCGACACACACGGATCACTCTCATTACTCGGAGAATATCAATGCTGCCCGCCGACTCCTCTGGGACAATCAGGCTCACGTAAAATGGAAGAATCGACAACAGATCTAAGATGTTCAGAATCGCTTTGAGAAATCGAATCTTATTAGGCGATGCGATGAAACGAATCACGTACTCAAACGTGAACCACGAACTGCAGATCGCGTTTAACACAAAGAACACGTGTTTGTTTTTTCCGGGCTTGGCCGGCTTAGTTTCATTAGGGGCCGTCTTAGTCTCATTAGCGTCCAATGGAGGGGAATCATTCAAAACAGGCATTGTTTCCACGCAGAATACCACTATCGAAAGCAAGATAATTACCAGCGAAAATATAGCCAAACCTTTGGCGCAGAATGAAGAATTTGGGCTCTCGAATACGAGCCAAATTGCTCGTAGGGTCCTATTCTTTGGAAGTTCTTCTTCGTCGTCATCGTCCTTCCCGCCATCGTCGTCTTCACAGTTTGCAACCGCTTCGTTCTCCTTCTGCATGTCATCCGTCAACTGGAAAAAGTTCAATTCCTCTAGGAAAATATCAGGTGGCACGTGCAAAGGCCGTTCCAACATTCCACCAGACTGATAGTAATACAGAATGGCCGTGAAGGAGCTGCGATGTCGGTCAAAAAAGTACTCGTTGTTTTTCTCGTCGAAGTATTTCTTACGCTTTTCAGGATTTCCCAGCAGCGTATTGGGAAACTGGTTCAACGTGCTCTCGTATGTCTCGTATTTTTTTCCGCCAATGTTGATTACAATTGGTTCAGTCAACGATGTGTCCACCACGCCAACTGGTACCGAGTTGGCGACAGACCAGTCACGTGATGTAGTGCGTGAACGGCGATAGCTGAGTGTAACTGCTGTAGCGACAGCCATTGCCATAGGGATAAATTGAAACAATCAGTGTCAAAATTCTCACTTTTCAGTGTTGCTTCGCCCTCTTCGAAGGCACAAACTACTCAAGTCTCCAACCTTTTTCGAAGGCGTGCTTAATCGCAATGTCTCATTCGAAAACTATTCATACATTCAGATTTTTCCCAAAGTGCGGATTTTCGTAGCTTTCACAAACATCGGCCCATTGGCTACGATCTCCAATCTCTTGGCGATAAGTCTTTTTAATCTACTTTTCGACTTTTTCCTCCGAAATAAGAAAATAACCAACTATTTTAATTATTCAAAATGCACAGCACGACACGCGTTCAAGGATTTTGAATTACGATTCTTGGAAATAATTGATCTCTTTGGCTTCTCCTTAGAGTATTTTGACAGTTCAATTTTTCAAACGGCTGTTAAACAACTAATTCTGAAAAGCTTTCGTCTCTCGTCGAATATCAGTGAGGAAACTTTTCACGATGTCCACTGCGTTTGCTGAAACTGCAACAGCCATTTGCGGACATTGGAAAGATACTTCAGCCTTGAAAAGCCTGTTCAGATTTAACCTTGCATATTATTAAAAATATACTGAAGATTCCGTTCTCTGCAAAGTGAAGTCCTTGACGACTGTTCAGTCCTTCACAAAATTCTGGAAGAAAAAAATTTCATAGATCAATTCAATCACTAGTAACTTTGTGCATAGAGATCAAAGTGGAGCACATTTTGAAGCTTACCAATCAGTGGTTTATGTAAGGTATTGGAAAAAGAGACAAATTAATAACTAGTTTGCTTGTGACCAAAGGCAATTTCCTATTTTCAATTGCACATCGGCGGGGAGCCTCTATTTTACTCGAACTGTTCAAATTACACCTGAACTGGCATATTCAAATCGAAACGCTCTGAACTTAAAAATAATTATCAGGTTAGTTTGAGCACGTATCATGATAAAAAAGAAGCTGATGAAAGATGAAGGGAAAAACCGTGCACACAATATTTTCTCTCAATACCTCCCTGTCTGTATATGCTTTATACTGCTTTTTCCCATAAAATTGAATGCTCTTCCCATAGATTGCTTAAAGTCCTATCAAGTGTTTCTACTCAAGCTGGTTAAACGGAACAACGGTCTCGACTAAGATTTTTCAAAACTACAAACTTTTTTCTATAAAAGGGCGCGAGAAAAATTATGTCAAATGTCAAATTCATTTTTAAATAACCTACTCCCTCAGGTCCGTGTTGTTTTTATTTTTCTGCCCGCGATGACGTCTTTGCACTTCTAACAAGATTGCCGATATGCCTTCGTAGTTATTTCGCCACGCAAACGTGTTTGGACATACAAGCGCCCACTGTGAAAACTCCGGATCCGAAGTCCCGCTGGAAGGTGCCCAAAGATTGGGAGGTAAACGTGTAAATCCCTAAGACAATATCTCTTTTTTCTTCAGTCAAAGGCTGTTCCTCGAGAAATCCACCTAACAACTTTATGGATTCTGAACTTAACAAAACAGGTGTCTTCAAACGCGGTAATTAATAGGCAAAATTTAATAGGTGTTTGTTTGGCGCCAACTTCGGGGTAGCGCGGGTGTTGCCTAAGACCGCAAAAACGTCGCAATTATTGTTACTTCGAACAGGAGCGTGGCGTTTTAAAATGAAACGTTGAATAAATCAGTAACCTTCCAGACTGCTTTTTTGTGGCATGCAAGTTTGCCTGATTAGAAATTATTTTTGCTAATCGTCAAAAATTAATCAAATTGACAAAGACTGAAAAATGCTTTGCTTGGAATGTTCTGTGGTCAAAATGATAGGAATTAACCCAAATGACAAGGAAGAATAACCTTGGCCTTCTAAAAGTCCTAGAATGGTCTAGATTGCACTCAGTTTGACAGCAAAAAAATTTAACTACATGCAGTTGAAAGACAAACTCATGTTATTTTGGCCGTGTAAAATTAACGAAAAATATGATTCGAGCGCAAATTTTAAACATAGTAAACAAAATCCAATCAATCAACACAGGTCAAAAAGATCAAGTTCATCCGAGATAAAAATTACTCTACCAAGAATAGTAACAAATTTTCACCAATATTTAGGAGAATTAAACTGCTACAGGACGAAGTGCTTCTTACCACAGCTTGGCGCAATAGAAGGAAACTGAAGGTGGAATCTTCGTGATCTGTTTGGTGCTAATATTTCAGACTTAATGAACACGATCTTCCTATAGCCCTTAATTTTCATGAATGTTATTAATGAAGCAAACAAATCAACCATTAACCTTTTTTTCCCCACGATGAATTCAGTAAGTTCTCGAGTAAATACACCCTGGTGCGTGGTCGAAGTTAGCGCAGCCACTACATGTACCGTTGAGTTTATCCAACGCCCCCTTTACCCCCCCCCCCCAACTGTTGGCAGTTAAGGTGAAATCTGAGCCTTCAGTTTTTTCCTTACATTCACACTTACATAATAGATTTAAGTTGATTTTCTGATTGTTTCTGCAGTCTCCAAACCTGTTGCTAACACGTAAATGCACCAACACATACACATGCCCACAGTGGGCTGATTCGCAAACTCCCGCTGATCACGAATGACCCGCTGATTGAGTTCAAGAATTGGAGCCCTTTTCTAAGAGGTTAAATCATTTTGAAAGAACGAGAGGTTTGAATTATCAGTAGCGATGTTAATCATTCGTAAAAAACAACTTCATCAATTTGCTTACCATGACGTGCCAGGAACAAATTTTACGAACAAACAAATACAACCTTACGCAGCTCATGGTGGGTAACCTATCGTAAACGATAGGGTGAAGAATGAAAATATTTATCTCTATAACGGTATATTAATCATTAATGTTCTTTTTGAATGCAAATTCTCTAAAACGGGGTCCTAACTTTGAGACCCAGGCGGTACCTAAGTATCCACCCAAAAACTGCCCAGGACTTCATCACAATGAAATGCTGAATGTATGCAGTTGATTAAACTACACTGCACACCGCCTTAGGTGAGCATAGAAGTTGTACACTGGAACGACGCAAACGTACTAGTTCAAAAACCATCGTAAATTAACTGACATATCGTGCTAAAAACACGGGGGGAAAAACTTAGTTGCAAGAGATTGCCAGAAAGGTTATATCCAGATTTCCGACGGAACAGTTTTCTTAATTGACCTCTCATTGACTCCAACTTTTTGAATGAAAATTATCAATTATTTATTGAAGACGAAACACAACTTCATAATCAAACGGAAACTCCAAGAGTATTTCAAAATTTTGAAAAAACTTTGCGCAAATCAAAGGATTTGATCACGCTTTCTGATATTTCATTCTTTGGTTTTCTTATCTATTGCGGAAAATTCGAGTTTAACTGAAACCAAATAGATAATTGGGGAATGTCCAGAGATAGAGGACGACATTTATTTTTCTATTCGTTTGATTTTGATCCATTTTCAGAGCGCGCCTTAATTGTTATGATTCATTAGAAAGAATGATTTCCATTTAATGAACAAAAAACACGCCAAAACAGAAAACTCTAGCTCTTCAATTAGTACATCGCGTTTCTTAATACCCGCGTACTAATTAAGATAAAACCGTAGCGATTTATTAGCATGCCTTAATATTATGGCTAACTTGTACTAAAACAACACTAAATGATGTGTAAATATCACTTGCAAAGTACTGCTCCAATCATTTCGATTTGCAAAAACCAAAGTCTTGTTATTCTTCGCACAGAGTCAAAATTTTCCATTCTCCAGTGCTCGAGGAAACTATATGAACACTCTCAGGCTGGGTGGCGTAAACTCAAATAAAATGAAATGTTTTAATGAAGCAATAACTAACATGACCCGGTCAAATTTCAATGGCGAAAGTTTTGATCAGTGACTGAGAAGTTCAGTTATGTTCAATCTACTTTTAAAGAACAAGGTTTTGTTTCATTTTTGCAAGAGTTTGCTGCTTTTCAACTATTTTCAGAGTGTAGAGACCAGATGTAAAATGTTTCACAGAAAAAAAAAAAATAGGAATTGCGCGACCAAATTTTAAAAAGGAAGCAAAATATTCTCTCTCATTCTATTAATAGGAAATGTTAGAGACGGTGTATAAGATCTTCAGCAAAGATTACGGTAATCTATATCATAAACTTAAATTAGGCTTAGTAAACGCCAAATGCTACAGCTTCCTTCAGGGATCTTATTGTCCACGAAGTAACATTGCATTTTGATAAATCAACCGATATTTTTGTCGTACACATTTCCTGTACTTCCCGATTCTGAGGTCGCTTTTCTTGCCGATTTTCAGTTCTTATTCATGTCGTCTTCACTCAAAATTCTCTATAGATTTTAATGTATTTTCCAGGATTCTTAAGTCATTGGGTATTTGAGTGACATCAAAAAGTAATTTCTTCTCGTAGTCAAATTTGATATCTCATCAAATATGTAACCTCGACAGTAAATGAATACCAGGAGAACTTGTACCCTGATCACGCGTTACCGCGCATACGCTGTCAATCTCAAAGAAACGAAAGTCGTAAAACACACTTTTAATTAACACTCGCAAGAAATTCTAGCTTTAATTAGAGCGAGCAAGGGCCAAATAATTTATTGCTATAATCAATTTTTTTTAACATCTCATATATTTTATTAAAATAACTTAAAACTGGGGGAAAGAAATTTCTTAGCAGACTTTGTCAAAATCGTGCTTTAGTTTTCATATTTCGGATCTTTTAACCGTTCCTGTAACTTTTTTATCACAGCTGGAATATTCCTCTATTGATCTTCCAAATAGATGCGTTCAAAACTGGCTTGTTTGACAATTGAAAACCACTAAACAAATAAAAGAAAAAAGCAGACTGGTTTTTGAAAAGATGGAAGTTTGGAAACCTTCATCTAAGGATTTACGTTCATACGTTTCTCAAATGAAAAGTGCGAGTAGCACTCATCTGTTTCCTTTTTCTGTTTGGCAAGAACGGAAACCAAATCAAAATATTTTAAATTTTAATCTTCCGAAGCTCTTGAAATAGAAAAAACCGACTTGGATGAATGATTATTTCATTAAATTGCGGTATCATTCGCATGTCTTAATATATTCGCTACTAAACTCTTTTGTTAAAAAACTGTTTTTTTTTTAAAATACAAAACATTTTAAAAAATACAAAATCTGAATCTAAATTTATTCGACAGGGTTCCCTGAATCTTGCTTCTTGTTTAGTCACATTGATATTCTCGTTTCTGAAACGTGCGTACAAGTTTAACGATGCTACAAAATAAAAAAAAAAAAAAAGAAAATCCTTTGACCGCATTTTTAATTACTTTGGTTCTGAGAGATCACTCACTTTTTAACTTCTACAACCAATAATTTTTGGATTGAATGAAAATGAATAGAAGAACTGCAATTGACAGGAAAAGTGCAAAGATCAAGCATATAGAGAGATGCTTTTGTAGAGACACTGGTTTTTAGTTCTCGATAAATTGGAATAATCCAGTAAACCATTCGAAATTCGAATTGTAACTAATAAAACTAGGTGTCAATTCCAAGTCTAAATGCTTGATTTAAATGTCTTACCGCGGTTTTACATGAGAAAGGCAATAGGTAATTTTATCAAATGAATATTTTTCGAAGTTTTGAATCAGGAACGGAAGAACAGTGCAAAAGTACTTCGCACTAGCAGAAGCAACAATTTCTTAAGGGTTTCATCGTCTGTTATTCGTATTTTTTTAAACAACAGTGTTAAACATTTTGTTTTCAAGTTCAGTCTCATACGTTCTCCTCGAGCAACTGAATTTTCCCTTACGCTTATCGAGCGCTAAAACTGTGATAAAATTTGAAAGGAAAACCTGCTTTCCGATACGTATGGTTTTATAAAATGAAGCAGTATACATTTTTGCGGCAATTTGAACCTCGGTAACACTGCATAACTGATTAGTACAAATTGCTTTGGGCATCTGTTTTAATCTGCAATTCGAATGTAGTATTTTTCTTGATCAAAGTTTTCAGGATTCGTTACAATTTAAAAAAAATAAAATGCAAGGAAACTAAGAAAATTGATTAAAGCGAAAGGAAAATTTTCCAAAGATTTAAAACTCGTGGAAAATATTAAAATGTGTTTTATTCCTTCATATTCGCGCCGAAAATGCCCAAAGCTGAATTCGAACTGGGCATGTCTGGGGCTAGAGACGAGGCAAAACCAGTGTGACAAAAGAAAAAAAATAAAAATGGGTTGTCCTTACCTTTTGTCCATGATCACAGCCATCCTTTTCGTGTTTCCTCATAGAGAGGAGGTTGTTTGGTAAATCTATGCGCATACAGTCATCCTTTTCGACTGACGAATTAAAATTTAACGCAAGTTTCATTCAAGCCGGCAGATGGCGATGGTGTTATTTGGCAGCCATCAACGCAAAAGTCCGCAATATTTACCGCAACTCACAATAAAAGTTGAAGAAGATAACGAGAAAATAGTCTCTCGGCTCATTAATATTTCACGCGTTTCAAAAGTAAAATAAAACAACCTTCTTTTCGTAGTAGTAAAATTCTGAAAACGGGTGAAGACTCGCGTGGAATTGAATTAAAAAAAAAAAACGGTACAAATCGAAGTCGCTTCTACCGCGAGTTCAACAGTGTCAACGGAGACTCTTTAGAATTCGCGACTGGGCTGTAAATTAAATGCACTTGCTAGCAAGCAAATTCGATCGAGTGTGAAGTATAAACAACGTCCTCAATTATACACCTGTTTTAAAGCCCACTATTTTTCTTACAACCTCGCAGTCACCATTGTAAAATGGCTCCAAAAGCTCTTTTGATAAAATGACATACAATAGTCTCTTAATTGTTCGTTTCCTGTCTAAGCAATTCCATTCACGCTGACCTAATCATGTCGTGCTTTTAGCGAGCAACACTACCGCGATGAAATTCTCAGGCAAGCTTATTTTAACGCGCTGATAAGAGTTGCGTCTTGAGTTCATTACTCAAATATGAAGCAGGTTTAATTTGCCATTGATCCAGATTCTCTCTCTGGTAAGCCAAAAGAAATGGATTTCAGACAAAACATCGCAAAAGTTCGAAAACACCGAACATGTGACGGGAGTTTCGCTCTCCAATCCGACGCACAGACTTGCTCCTAATTAATGCAAAACATTGGCCTTTGACCAGTAAAGGAGAAATTATACATAAAAAAGAAAGAGCTCGGGTATGTTTTTCACATTTACTTCGGATTGCATAAATTGACGTTTATAAATGAATCATTCGGTTATAAAACCTTTTTAGGCAAAAGCGGTTTAGCAAAAGCTACCCCAACTCTTATCACCTCATAATCATCGTTCTGTTTTAGCGCTATTTGCATGTGAATGCTTACCAAACCATAGGTGAATTGATGAAGGATTGTTTAAATTTAAGTCAATCGAAAACATCCAATCCAAATGGCTCTTGCGAGGATTTTTTTAAAATTTAAGTTGATAAAAATTAAATTTTAAAATGGGACAATTCGCAATTGCGTATCATCCATTAGATTCCGAGAAGCCACAAAAATTCAAAGAAGACTTTGTTGTGATCAGTTGAAGAAAACGAACCAGCAAGTCATTAAAACTTTACGTCCAACCGAAATACACACACGCATAAATAAAAAAGTCAATTTAGAAAACGAAAGTCATAAAGTAATTCTGGTCATTAGTATCAAAGCAAAAAGCAAGATATCAAATTATCCTGAAAAAAACCGTCTTTGTTAAAGGTAGTTCCTCAGTCATATGAAGGGATTTCCGGTTCAGACAAGATCAAAATCTCGTTTCCACTGATTAATGTTTTAAGTACTTTTAAACCCTGTAATAAGCTTAAGATTTTTAAAATTCCCAAATATCACAGTTTTCTCTCTAAATGCGGGGATGTGCTCGTCGCAAGGGGAAAAGGGGGAAAGGGGGATTTGGGAGATTTAAATTCCTTAGGAGATCTCCAACACCCCCGGTGGTAGGCTTGCCGCTTACCTCCACTCGCGATTTGTTCCAGGCTCAAATTCCGACGTTTTATCGAGTATTTGATCCTCTCTCTCGAGAAGACTTCTCGGGTAAGGAGCGTGGGCTTACTCTCCGACCAGCTGCTTGTACTTAAGCTTAGATTTTATTTCGAAATCAATTACAGATTTACCGATGTAAATCAACTAAGACAAAAAACAGGATCATCTCTGAAAAAGTTTTTGCTGTACATCAACTACCAAAAAGGTACTTTGAAGAACTGACTTTAAAAGCAGTCGGGAGCCAGTGAATGTATGTCGAGCAGGACTGGGACCCAAAACCAAGAAAGGAGTAACAGGAGTTGGCCCACAGAATGCTTTTTTTTTTTTTTTTTTAAATAAGCAAAGCTGCAAACGGTGTTCATGTTCCCGTAAGAAATTGCACGATTTTATTTTCAATCAACATCACGTGTGGTCAATAACAATGTTCCATTTTTACCCAATAGGGAGTGTCTCCCTTCCGAGCTTGAAATTTTGGCTTTATCTCTTTGAACGCAAAGGATGATTGGCATCTGATTTCTCCTTACAGTATCAATTTTCTCAACCAATGAGATTCAAAACTAAAACAAACTGTGACTTGGTCACTTATGTTTTCCCAAGTTCTGGGCAGTTGGCTTGTTTTTACTTTGAATTTTCACTACCATGATAGTTCCTTGTGAAACCTCCTAAGATCTAATTGGCAATTCTCCTTTCAGGCAGCTGTGCATTTGCTTACTCAATGGTTAAGAGAATTTATTGTTTAATCAAGACAACACCCTCTGGCAAATGTCTGTATGTTCTCAACTTAAGTTTACTAGATACTTAGCTCATGAGCACGCCTCATTAAAAATGCTTCAAGAAGGATTTCTCTGCCCTGAGGAAGATTATATTGAGACAAGTGGGGGGGGGGGGGGAAGAAAGAGGTTTGCTGAAGATCTGGCACTAAAGGGGGAGGGAGAAACACTCTAATAAAGCTCTCATAGTGGGGGCCTGTTCACAGGTTACTGGATACTGCCTTGATGTTATAAGGAAAAGTTACCAGTATATGTCCATCACTTCCAGGAGTTATTGAGTTACTCTCTACCAAGGTTGTACCATTTGCCTCCAAAACGTTGCTTCCTGAGTAAACAAACATGCATTTACTGCCTATTGAACCCAGTCTTTAGGAGTCTGCAGGACTTGCAGCAATTCGTCTTCTCTAGTACCTTTTGCTGGTGCATGCATGTACTCCCAGCGTGCCTCCAGGGGAAGTGACATCAGAATGCTTTCTATGCGAGCACCAGGTGTATACAGACCAAACTTGGTGCCACGGTCATAAACCAAGTTAAATTCCACGTATCTGTGAGATGAGGAAAATCAAAAATCCAAAAATCTCTCAGTTAGAACATGCACTATGATTGAACAATTTAGCAGGCTGTATTTCACTGTATAGCTTGCTCAATTCAAAAGTTTCTTTGAATTGAAATCTTTCCTCTCTGTTTGAACCTGGGGATATATTAATAAATCACTACTCTTATTTATCAATCCATATTGTAGGTTATGGGACCTTGTTTCTCTGCTCAGATTAATGGCTTTCATACTTTGCCCTGAGGCCATAAATCCAGGCCGGAAAAAACTCAGTCTGCACCTTATAGTACAAACCTCCTTAGTAAGTAGGAGATATATTAATTGAAACAGTAATCTTAACAGAGGAAAAATAATACCAATAAACTTCAACCTACATGCCATCACCTTTCTAGTATCAAAACCTTAAATGAAAATCTGCATTCATCTCAGTAACATTATCCCCTCAAGTAGGTATTCCAAGCAGCAATTATTTTAAAAAAAGAAAAAATACGAACATTCCATGCAATATTAAAGGAAAAGAAAGCAAAAAAAAAAGCTATTATGCAAAATTTACAAGCACATAAAAAATTGAAACAATTATAGGAATCTGTTTAATGAAACACACATGAGGAAAAGGAAAATCTTTTGAATTTCTACAGCACATCTTATTTAATAACTGGTCGATATTCTGCTGATTAACAATGTTGTTTAGCAATTTAAATGGCATGACTTAATTGCTTCATATGTGGTTGTTTATAAATCTTAGAATGAAACACCTTGGTCCTGAAAGAATGAAAGCAGGATATTGCACTGTAATTTAAAAGTTAACATGTCCACATAGAGTTCTTAGAGAAGAGTTCTAAGGCCAGATAAAACTTACCGTCCTCTCCGTAACAACTGCCACTGCCGTTCACTTTCAGTGTATGGATCATCTTTGTGTTTTAAAACCATAGGAACATAGCCAGGCAGAACAGCATTGGCTCCAGCCTGAACAAACTTGAAAATCTGATCCTGTGAGGGTTTGTCAAGGTCATCAAAGAATATGCCCCCAACACCTCGACATTCGCCTGTTATGAAGAAAGAAACACTAAGCTTCAGAAGACTTGTGCATAAGATATAGACTTAGAGAGTTATATTTTGGCTTGACATGATTGCTTCTACTCGGTGAACATGAAAAATTTTAGTTGCAAACTGTCAACTGAAGGTAACTATTCAAGGTGTGGAATTCACTCCTGGATTAAAGGTACAGGGCAGTCCTGAAAATGATTGTTGTCAATGGCAGTGAGAGGTGTGTCAACAACCTAAGCAGGTGTCATCTTTACACTGTTCTCTGTCCATTCCCTATGGTGCTGACAGGGAGAATTTGATCAACAATCAAGAGCTTCTTGAGTGGGTGGTAAATTCATGTATTCTCATAACCTTTATGCTTGAGTCAGCAGTGATAATGTATAGAGAAATTAGATGCTAATCACTCGTAAAGGTTAGAGGATTAATGACTTGACTTGACTTTTAGGATGGCTTCCATTAAGATATTTTAACCATCAGTTACTTGTGGTCAACAATAGTCCATTACCATAATTGTTAAGTTCAAACTATTAATTGAATCCTGAGTCTAGTTAAGATGCAATCTGTGCTTCTGAGATAAACCTAGCCTAACTGCCACCCTGCTTCAGACTACTCAGCCCAGAGATGCAAGTGTAGCACAGAGGTGTCTTCTTATGTTCTTGCCCCACAAGCAACCAACTTTCATCTTTAAGCAACCTGCATAACTTTTTTTAGTGAACTTCACAAGCTCTAAGACCCTGGAACCCCAGACTTCTGAAAAAAGAGCCTTGACAGGCACCCTATAATTCTTCTTAGAGCTCAGTTATGTTTCATCCTCTTTCTTGGTCAATCTAAGCTGTTCTGCATCTTGTTATTATTTTTTTAGGAAACTTTTCAGACCACTGAGTATGACTCACCTCTATGCTTCACAACAAAATAATCATCACACCACTTCTTAAATGTTGGATAATAAGATGGGTCATGCTTATCACAGAAGTCCTTCAAAGTCCTATGAAAATGCTTTACATCCTAAGACAGAAAACAAAGATTCAACATTCTTCCACCATAAAAAGCTATCTCAAGCACTCAAAATAAATTGATTCCTACAATCGAGCCAAATAATTAGTTGATCCAATACTAAATTCTCTGAACTAAAATGATAAGAATTGAATGGTTGACAGTATGGAGAATTACAAATTTGATCTTGGAGTTAAAGGGTTAATGACTCCTAGAATCAAAGAGTTCCTCAATTTTTTTATCATTCCCTTTATTCTCATAGCCTCAATGTTTGACTCAAGGGTGATACTTTTGGGAGAAGTTAAATGTTAGTCACTCTATGAGGTTGTGGGAGACTAGGCATAGTGGCCTGATTGTAAGAGTGCTGAACTTAGGATTGAGAGGTCTAGGTTTAAGTCCTGGTCAGGTCAATGTGTTGTGTTCTTAAGAAAAATGCTTTACTCCCAGAGTGTCTCTCTCCACTAAGGAGTATAAATGAGTACCGGTAAATTTTTAAGGGAAGCCTGATGAAATGCTGGGGGGGATTACCTTGTAACGGATTGGCATCCCACCCAATGGGGAGTAAAAATACTCTTGGTCCCTTCATGCTGAGGAACATGGGATAACCTCCAGCTAGATGGGCTACTAGGCTTGAGTACAGACTTAACCCTTTAACTCCCAGAAGTGATTAACATGAAACTTCTCTCTATAAGATCCATACATTATCCAGCAAACAGGTAATGAGAATACTCAGACTTATCAGGTAGTAGTTGGTATCTTGATATAACACCAAATTCTCATTTACAAGGAAATGTGTGGTAGCAAGAGAGGAGAATTGACAACCAGATCTTGGGAGTTACAGTTAAACTTTTATCACTTTTAAGGGTTAAAGAGTAAAGAAATGAGAGCTTATCAACAAACTTAAATTCTTCTCATCTACCTCTTGATCTAGGTAATAAGGTGTAAGATCAGTTCCACCACCAAACCAACTGTGTTTCTTGCCACTTTCTTCTTGGACTTCAAAATAGCGATAGTTGAAGTGAAGAGTTGGAACAAATGGATTGCGTGGATGAATAACAGAACTTATCCCTGCCGCAAAAAATGGAAACTTGTTTCCTTGAAGTTTATTACCCCTACTTTTCATCTGTTCCACAGCTGCGGGTGACAGATTGCCATAAACAACAGAAACATTTACACCAGCCTTCTCAAACACCTTTCCTGCAAAATTACAGAGCAAGGTACAGCTTTAGGACAGAAAAAAATTTTTTTCCAGGTTGTCAAGTAAGAAAAGATGTCATTTTTTTTTGTTGAGACTGGGGGACTAGAAAGATCCCCCCTTGAGGAATTGCACCCAAGACTCTTGGACACCAACAAGCTGAAAAGGTAGCTAATGGAAAATCACCAAGTAAATGTATGCAGTCACTTTTGGATCAGCCAGCAGCAAGCTGCAGGCTCTAACAGCAATTTGTATCAGTCTTTAGTGTGATTTCCAAACAACACCATACTATTCTGAAACAAAGCTGTGGTCCTAAAGGCAATCTATCACTTACTTTTCTTTTCTTTTCAAGAACTGTTATGTCCAATGAAGTATGAAACTGTGCAGAAATCTCACCTCAGTCTTTTTTGCAGATTTCACCTTTGCCTAAACCATTCCTCCATGAGTGGTGGGCAAAGAAAGAGGACATAGGGTAATTTTACAAAAAAAAAGGGAAAATATTTTGTCACTTGCTACTAGGGTCAGCAGAGTAGCATTCAAATCTAAGGCAAGCAGTCTATCAGAGAGATAACCAGAAGGCTGAGTTTTCGAAACAAATTTGCAACTTCATGCCCCTACTTGGGATTGAACGGTGTTCTCATGCCACAAAAAGATGTCCTGGAAAAATCGTCGCGGTTATTCCTTTTCTTATGCAGCCTTACCATCTTGCAAAACACAGCTTATTCCACCGCCACCTTCGTTTCTCAGCCAGCGATCCACATGGAAGTCGTTCCCATCGATTTCTGCAAGTTTCCGACAAATGTCGGCCTGAACGCCGAGAATCATGACCTCCATCCTGCTTTTCATGTCGTCCATGCTGTTCTCTAGAGTCTGAGATTCTGTTAATGGTTCCGCCATAAATTTGGAAGTGTCCACTTTTCTCTCGCGCGCTGTCACGAACGAAAATCCTAAAGCTGTACCTACACCAACTGCCGAGGCTCCAAATCCAATTAACATACTTGTCACTTTATACGTACGTGCGGCGCGAAAAATGCGAAGAAAAACCATTATAAAACTTATAAAACTTGAATTAAACTTAAACTTTTAAAACTTTCTAAATATTACCCAAATTTTCGCTGTGTAATGATGATGAAGACTGGGTTATAGCTTTATTCGTACTTCCACTGACAAAATACTGCGTGAATTGCAGGCGCAGATTTCCTTCAATCACGGTTTCCCGGATATGAGCTGTCTCTTCGTTTGTGGCTTTTGGAAAGGTAAGGAAAAGGGAGAAAGGGTGTCTGAAAATCAACCTCCATCATACCTCTTTTATGACATCATTCGACTGTGCTCGGTTCAAGCCTTAACGAATAACCAAGCTATCGAAATACAGAACTATTTTTTATCAAATAATAAAGAATTACACGTTTTTAACTGTTGTTCTTTCTTGTGATGATCCACAAAAATAAGGACGATCGGCGGGTTTTGTAAATGACAGAGCTTTAAAGAAAGCCTCATTTGCTAGCTTATGATTCCTTGAACACTCACCGTTTGGAAGTAATGTTTGTGAATCATCTCAGACCTCTTTTTGTGAAACGTTTCATCCAAAAAAATATCCATTAGAACTGATGCCCCTCTTGTAAACTAGAAAATGTTCGTAACAATTTTCACGTGCATTTTTGTAGATGGCAAAAGTCCACACACCACGCAACAAAGATCTCGCCCCTGGTATAGGGAGGTACAGCAGATCAGCTATCTACAAAAAGAGGGCTCTGTATAAACGTAAAAAGACAGGAGTTAAGAAGGAAGTAGTCGAAGAACCAAAAACCAGAGTTAAGGAGGTTGGAGGGGACAAGAATGGCTCAACAAGAGTTGTTCCAGTGAAGAGAGAGGTATGTATCTTTCGTGAATATTGTTTAAAACATTGAAACTCTGTTTCCATGTATCTGTTCTGTAATTAATCAATAGAGTTTTTGTTAACCAGCATAATTCTGATTTGGGCCCATCTCAGAGTCGTTTTAGCCCAGGCCACTCTAAGTGAGGGGCTAACATGGCACTTAGAAGGACCTAAAACATTATTCTGCCCAAGATCATAAACTCTATTACTATTACTATCACTCTGGAGGGGATTTAAAAAAATGATAATGCTTAAAAATGAAAAACTCTTTGGGAAGCAGGAATAGCACAGTGGTGAGAGCTCTTACCTTGCACCACTCTAGGACCTGACATCATATGTGGGTTGTTCTCGTCCTTGTTCCAAGGGTTTTACTCTGGGTCCTCTGGTTTTCCTCCCTCTGCAAAACCTATATTCCAAATTCCAATTCGACATGGAACAGTGGACAGGAACAGCTACCTCTTAAATTGTCCACTGCTAAATCACTCTGCATATTATTATTGAAATGTGAAATGACAACAAAACAGTCTAAACAATTGTGCAAATGTCAAAATCCCCATTAAAGGTTTCAAAATGCACCACTAAGCCCTACAAAATGATATTAATAGATCATTTTTAACCAAAATTTGGTTTGAACAAGGAATTGGTAGATAAGGTGTAGGTGATTGTGTCAGAGATATTTTTACTACAATTTGATACAGTTGATACCATTCATTCCCATTTATTCTATATATTTACAAATTTACTACAATTTTCTAATGTATGTAGCAGCCCTATTGATCATAAAAGTGATGCTAACAATGTTAAAGGTTAAAGTGAAACCACAAGGTGCAGCCAAGTGGTTTCACTGGTAATGTCAAGTGAATGGTTTTGACCTAATTGTTTGCAATCTTGAATGTTCTGGAAAAGCAATTAGTTCAAGTGTAGCCATTATTAAGAGTGCACCCATTTTCAGTGTAAAGTTCTTTATTACAGTTTTATTGATTTGCGCTGGTGATATTCATATTTATTTTCATATTTATTTCAAACTGCAGTGTAATACTTTTTCTATGTTGCTCTCTTATAATTGTTTTAGTCTCGCTACTATCCAACTGAAGATGTGCGACGACCTCTGAGGAACAGGAGAAAGGCCAAGCCCACTAAGTTACGGTCCTCTATAACTCCTGGAACTGTTCTCATTCTCCTTGCTGGACGTCATAGAGGCAAGGTTAGTAAAACATCTGTTAGAAGTGCAGCTCTTGGCATACATAGCACATGTGAAGCACTTATGGCCTTGTAAGTACTAGCAGGTGTTATGGAGTTTCGATGGCTAGAGAGGCAACATTGTTAGTAGAGTTTCACCTTTGACAACTGGCCAGGGATTTTATGATGACATCTGCAAGAGTCAATGTCTTAACCCCAGGTCTAGTTTCCCTCTTGTGTAGGAGTGTTTTTCCCTTTGGTTTTTGAGGTACAATTGAACCTGGATTATTGGTATTCTTTGGTTATCTGGACTTGCTTATCTGGTTCAATTTTTTCATAAATGTTAATTAGTCACATTCAAGATCCATAAAAACTTTTTCCCATCAAACAAAGCAGATGTACTGAAACAATGTTGATGCTATTCCTTAAATGAAGCTTTAGTATTATTCTTGATTGTCCATCTTCTTGAATGTCCAGACTATTCAGCCTAGTTCCCACAGGTCCAAATAATCAAGGTTCGACTGTACCCAGAAATAATTTCATATGTTTGCTATAGAGAGAAATGCAAAGACATTGAGCATACAATGACTGAGAGTCAAAGCTTGCACCTGTTTCATTCCATAATTTTTTTAATTTTTTATTAAAAACTATTCTTTTGTAGAGGGTGATCTTCCTCAAGCAGCTTGCCTCAGGTCTTCTGCTAGTCACAGGTATGGCTCATTATTTAGAACAGGTTATTGGGAGAACTGTGGAAAAAGGAATCTTATGGGATGTTCAGGGCACCAAGTTTTGAAAAAGTTTTTCAAAAACCTTTAATTGCACCATTTCAGTTTGTTTGAACCTTTTCAATTTTCTTTTTACTTTTTGTTTTCAAATCTGTTGGTTACCAATTGAGTGACTTTTGTTGAAATTGTAGTCGCCAAATATATTTTTTTCACTTGCACTGGCAACCAAAAGGGTCCCAACTTAAAGCGCTGATATTTCACATTTACTTGAGGTCTTGAACACTTGGTGGTAAAATTTTTACCACCAGTCACCATCAACTTCTGCTACAAATTCAGCTGTCAAAGTGGTTTTTTACTCATCATTGTAACCAAAACAAAACAAAACAAATTTAGCTGTGAAAATTTTGCAGTTTGGAGTACTTTTAAGGCTTTTCCATCATTTGAAGGATTAAAAAAAAATTACATTTAGTAGTTTCATGCAGTAACTAACCTGTCTCTCTCCCCTAAGGGATAAGCAAATTCAACACAAAACTTTACAGAATTTTAAGTGCTCTGTGTTATTTGTATGCTCTGATCTTAAGGGTGCAAACATGAGCCTGTTTACTTATATTATTCATTTTCTCATGCCCTGGTTTGTTTAATTGTGTGTATTGTTCTTCTGAAGGACCCTACAAGGTGAATGGTGTTCCTCTCAGAAGAGTAAACCAAGCTTATGTCATCTCCACCAGCACCAAGGTAGACTTGAGCAACTTCAAGTTACCTGAACGTCTGTCTGATGACTTCTTCAAGAGAGAGCCAAAGAAGAAGAAGCGAACAGAGGACATGTTTGAAGATGCTCAGGAGGTAGATTTACTTGCCTTTATTCTTCTGGAATTATTTTGAAATAGTTGCTACATTAGATTAACCATGTGGGTACCTACAGCTGTATAATCAAAACTCTTGGCAGCTTGCTAGCATCAAAGATGACTGATGAGGGAACAAAATCTACTTGAGAAAAGTATAACAAATGCACTTGTTGGAACTAACAACCTATGTAAGAATGTTACCTTTAACACATCTTGAACTATGATTGATAGTGACTCTGTTTACAGATAAAAAACATTAAACTTTCTTTATTATCCATTACCACAATGAAACAACAAATCTATTGTCTCTGGTCATGTAGCGAGCTACATCTTTTTTCCTCCAAGTTTAAAAAAAAAAATCCAAATTTGTCAAAGATTCCTCTGGCAATGGCAAGCCTTTACAACTTTAGTTACTTTATTGCACCCTCATGTTATCCATTTTGTAACTTGTTGCATATGCTTGGTGTAGAAGACAAGTTATTGTTATGATTTGCTTGGCAAATACATCCCTCACTCACTCACTCACTGTAACATGAATAGTGAGGTCACACTGAAGATTGTGTATTATAATTAGAGTTGTTGCTTTGATGCCCGAAGGGGACCTCCATCTCGAAATTTGTTTTACACTCACTGATACACTTTGTGGCTCTTCTGCCTTTTTACTAAACAAAATGATCTACAATGAAAATTTTTATTTATACATGTTTGCTTGTTTGTTTGTTTGTTTTTGTAATAAAGGAGAGGAAACCAAGTGAAGAGCGAATTGAAGATCAAAAGGCAGTTGATGAGCAAATCCTTCCAGAGATCTCCAAAGAAGCACATCTTAAGAAGTACTTGAAAACTTTGTTCTCCCTCCGAAAGGGACAGTACCCTCATTCAATGATATTCTGAGCTTGTTGGTGTAAATTACAAGAATAAAAGTTGACAACTCAAACTTTTCAAATTTGCTTTGGGCTTCTGTTTTATGAATGAACTACATCATCTCATTTGGTAACTGGGTGCTACACTAAAGCTTCACTTGCTTTGCCAAAAAGTTATAAGTTAACCCCTAACAACCTGCAGCTTGTCTTGATTCGCTGCAGTATTGCTTTGGATTAGCCTTGTACATAGTGTGTAATTTTACCCAAAATGGCGTGAGCCTCATAATTTCTTGGATTTGAATTTACAGCCCCTCTCAAGAATCTCCAGTTCTTAACCCTTGAAGTCCCAGAGATGATCCACTTGAAACTTCTCTCTTTATTATCCATACATTATCTAGCAAACAGGTAATGAGTATACTCAAATGTATCAGGCAGAAGTTTTTATCTTGATCTAACACCAAGTTCTTGTAACTAATTTATAAGGAAGTGTGTAGCAGCTAGAGGGGAGAATTTGCAATCGTACCTTGAGAAGTATAGGGTTAATTCTCAATCTCTGATCTGTTTTACCACTCCCCACCGAACATGTCCATCTTAACTTGAGTTGTGTAGTTCACCCTTCATGCCCTAGCATCAGTATGAACTACACTTTCCCTGAGTTGCTGACAAATAGAACTATTTTAACCGTCAAGAGCTTAATTTCCTTTGTTCTTGTGACTTATATGTTCTACTCGGAGGTGAAATTGTATGGGGAAATCAAATGTCAATCATTCTTGGGGGTCAAAGGGTTGAGGGAGGGGGGGGATAACATGGATCCCAATGGTAAGGATTAGGCTGGCAGAATCACTCATTGTGCTCTTTCAATACTTGAATAACTTGGATGTAATTTTAATTTTCTCTTATCCCTTCCTGATGTAGCCGGATGCACAGCCCAAGGTGCCCTGCACGTAAATCTTGGGTAAAACACTTTAAAACCTAAGGATTTTAGGCGAGTAGAGTGTTCTTTTAGACTAGTTAGTGCTGACTGGTAATCCCTGCATGTTTAAACCGCGCACCCAGTTCGATTTTTAAACATTATTGTGGGTAGTACACAGCAAATTGTTATATCCTCAATAAAATCAGGCGCGTCCGCAATCAAACAGGTCCGCACTGAGTGCGTAGATAATTTTGTCGTAAAGGGAACGAGGAATGGGAATGGTATTAGTTGGCAAAGGGACATGGAAAGTGAGGAATTGGGAGGGAGAGTGGGCGATAAAAATTAATTGGAATTGGAAACGCTTGACATTTCCAAACAAAAATCTGTTTCAAGGAACTTTTCAGTGGCATTTCCGTGAAAATTTCCAACTGCTGGGCATTTAGTCTATTCGAGATCGTTCCCGGTGTCCCAGCGGATTTGGACCCCCCTAGATTTGGACCCCCCGGTCCAAATCCGCTAGCAGATACGGACCCCCCGGTCCAAATCCGCTAGCGGATATGGACCCCCCCGGTCCAAATACGCTAGCAGATTTGGACCCCCTCCGCGGATTTGGACCCCCAACAAAACTGAGTGAAAACATCGTCCTCAACGTTCTAGTAAAAATGGATGATACTTTACGTTCCAGTGCGTACTAAAGTATGTTTTTCATTCAAAACATGCGTATCGTTAATGCATACGAACTGGCATCCCGTCGGATGTTTCTTGACCAAGGGAAAATGCACAAGAGTTAATTTGATGTCTGGAGAGAGGTCGTTTTTGAACCTTTTCCGCGATAGTCGAACACCACTAGATTCAATAGGAGACAAACTTGTGACACTAATTTATTTTGTCATTATTCAATGCCCGAGTGTTGGGACGACATGGTTCTGTGCGAGTTGTGCGAGGAATGGTTTCACATGTTTAAGACTACCCCGGAGGGCGAGTGACTCTGCATTGTCTGCAGATCGCCAGACTCTGACGTCTTCGTAATTGTTAAGGTGTTATTTTGGATCCCTCAACAGTTAATAATCATTAAAATTAGAAAATAAGATTGAGTTCGATGTAATAGTCTCCATTTTTGTTAAGACGTTGACATTAATGTTGATTAATGTTGATTTGCATCTGAAAATAAGCTGAGAGTTCCAATAGTTCAGAATAGAAACATTTTTACTTATCATAGGCTTTACGAACGACTTGTAGTAGGAGTAGTTTCTTCGTTCTTGTTCAGAAACTGTTTATTGTTATTATTTTAGAAAATCAGACTGAGTTATTTTTCTGACTGGACGCAATAGTCTCCACTATTGTTATGACGTTTCGTATCAATGTTGATTCGCATCAGAAGAAGCAAGGATTTATCGTAACAATTTCAATAGTTCGAATGCAGTAGTTTGTTCACATCTGATTCTTACGTTTACTGTACGACTCGCTAAAATAATGCGGTAGAATTGGAACGAAATGACTGTTTTTTTCTTTTACCTTTATTGAGGAATGTTGTGTTGCGATTGAAAAGAACATCGACAAAAAGCTTGCAAATAGAATTAGTTACCAAATATGATACAAAGGATGCTTAAAAGGAAAGTTTGGTAGGGGGGTCCAAATCTGCGAAGGGGGGTCCATATCCGCTAGCGGATTTGGACCGGGGGGGTCCAAATCCGCTAGCAGATATGGACCGGGGGTACAAATCCGCGGGGGGGTCCAAATCCGCTGTGACACCGGGCGTTAAACATGAGATTGTGCCCGGCTACCGGGCATTTAGTCACCGCGAAAATAATTTTAAAAATCTTGTCGATGTAATTGTCATATCGGAGCCCTGATCCAGTGTTCACTTTTAGATTAGTTTGTAGACGTATAAAAATACTTGAATCATCTTGTTATGCCCAAACCACGAGACCCTTTGAAATCCAAAAATGATGGATTCTCGTACCCAGTACTAATAAATTTACACTCGTGAAGTACCTGCTATTCAAACTGAAGCCTGGAAGAAGAATCCTTGGCGAGCGGATGCTCGTCCTACAGTCGCACACCCTTTTCTGAATAACCTACCCTTTCCTGGTTAAGTGGGGCGTACCACGAGTACTCAAAATCTAAAAAAATCCATTGCTCAAAATATAAAGTTCAAATATTGAGGGCAACGATGGTCCGCCCTGAAAGGAACCTCATTGTCGCTCACGGTACGAGTTTGAAGGGGCTTCCTTCTTTAGGCAATATTTTGGAAACAGGGTTTCCTTAGGTGTTTATCGATAGACAGTACTAGCTGGCCAAACCAGTAAATTTATGTAATATGAATTACACATTTGATAAGTATAGTCTGACTAGGTGAGTTAGGGATCGGAATATGTTTATCACCGGGGAGGGGGTATTAGAAGATTTTGATTGTTTCGCGATAAAATTTGCCTGATCTTAGGCTCTGTAATATTCTCACGATTCCCCTCCTTGATGCTTTGTTGGCGATGACTGATCCCCGTTCTGTTCCTCGTAAAAACCACGTGATATTCCAAAATCCTCCACCCTCCCCATGAGATCTTTTTGCAACTCCGGAAAAACGTTACGCAGGTGGGAGAGTACGTAGGTAAACGAGGGGCCTGGTCTCTAGTTCGGTCGACGCCCTTGGATTGAGCAAGGAAACCGGCGATCCGCTCTTGTGTTGAAATCTTCGCTCTTTTACAGCGATAAAATGGCAGAGAAGGAGAGTAATGTGTTTAAGGCCAAACTAGCCGAACAAGCTGAGCGATATGAAGGTAAAGAGATTGTTTTTGAAGCCATTAATGGGCATTTTGCGTTGTTAGATTCCTCAGATAATTACGCTGAGCTTGCCAGCGAGTGTCGGTTACAGTGGGCAAATAGTTCCTTTGACAAAAGTTTCAGGATTTTAGATCCGCCGAAACGGTAGTTCTCAATTAGATTCGCCCTTTTCAGAGCGTCTTACTTTCGTTATGCTCACTGAGGTTTGTTACATAGCTGTGTTGTACTGTAACCAAGCTTTTGAATTGTCGTGTAGAAGTTGGCGTCGATTCGCCATTTCGAATGAATCGTTTTTTCGTTAGCGTTCTTGTACATTTGTCGCTGGTGGCTACATTAATACCGTGTAATATTTACTGGACTGCCTCAATTAAAAGAATGATTAGCTTTGAACACTTTACGCTCGCAAAAAGTTGTCCTAAGTAAATGTTTTGCTTGCTGAAAGTTACTTTGTCGATTTCAGAGTACAAATTACGCGTAGGAACACTATCGCGAAAAAAGCCGCATGGCTTATCTTACGACATCGTGCTAAATTAATCTCAATAAATCGATCTACCTTCGTCGCGATGAAGGGCACTTTCATTGACTGGGCTTTCTTTTGTGATTTCAAGGGTGTGTTTTCCGTAAATTTGTTCGTAAGATTTGATTGCGTGGTAATTTTTGCATGGATCTTGAATAAGCGGACTGGACTAGATATAGCGGTCGTACAAAATTGACTCAACGAAATTTGAGATTATCGAAATCACAGAAAACTGCATGATGTGGTGTGTCAGACTTGTTCATTGTCGTTCTGTTGCTGTTCAGTCGTGTTTGGGACTTGTATGGGTAAATGTCACATGTTGAAAAGAATTATTGTCCAAGAAATCATTTAATATTTAAATTGAAATCACAACCTGTCAACATCAGCGAAAATCTGCGCAATCATTAATTTAACTGACATCGCTGAGTGTACTTCTCAAGCAAAAGCGGTAAATTTTTTAGCAAGTCATTCCTATTTTTACAAACTTCCCTGTTCCCAGAATTTACGTGTTTTGTTATGTTAACGCGTTACACCCTAGCATCAGTAGGCATATTATCCATACATTTTCCTTTGGAGCTGAATAGGAGAATTTATTTAAGAATCAAGAGCTTCTTTAGATGGTGATTATTTCCTTTACTCTCATGACCGTAATTTTTGATTCAGTGGTGATATTGTAAGAAAGAATTAGATGCCAGTCACTCTCAGGGTCAATGGGTTAACCCATTGATCATTTACTGATCAAAGTGAAAGAATTCCAATTCATTTTTTAATGTGTACAGAACTACCATTTTTCAAGGAGATTACAAAATATCAGTGAAAGCTAAAAAAGCATTAGCAGGCAAGGATAAAAAACAAAAGCACATTAACAGAGAAGGATGAGAGAGACAAAGATTTTTTGCCATTTTGATATTTCAGTTTTAATGCTATTCAAAATTTGACTTTATGGTTTTATTGGTGCTCAAAAAATGAAACAGCTTCTTCTTGGAGCACAAAGTTACTTGAGAGGACCCCTTCCAATTGTAACCGTACTGATATCTTTTTAGAGTTTGTTTTTCGGTTGTGATCTCATACGACCCCAAGTTCTGAAAACTAATGCTAAAATTTCATTTGAACAAGCTCTTAAGATGAAAACTATAAAAGAAACTTGGTGATTTGCCTAATTTCAAAATTTTGTGCTTCAAATTCTGTTGCATATGGGGAATTATCAGCATGGAGTTTTGATGTTGGTATTTGAACATAACCACCAAAGAAGAGGTGATCATTAGAATTATAATGGCCAATGAGGGGAGATTATTGAAGTAGTAAAGTGCTTTATAGGGGATCTGGTAAATTTTATTATGACTTGGAAAAAAATCCTCTGACCCTCCACCTTCCCCTCTCTCCCAGGTGATATTGTAAATTACTGTTTGACCAGTCCCTTGTTAAGGTGAAATGTATAATTGTATTAAAATATTAGTATTTAGCAGGGATGTAGCTAAAGTTTTTAACAGGCGGGAATCTTGCAGTGATAGGCGGGTATTCAGGCCGAAGGCCCACTCTAGCATGCCAAAGGCATGCTATACCTAGATTTGAAGGTGTAAACAAATGAAATAAATAAACAACAATCTTCTGACAACATTTAAAAACATTTTCGAGAAAGAAGTAGTGCTTCACAGCTGGAAAAATTGCATTCACAGCTGGGTAATTTTCCCGGCTTCTGGCTATTATCTACATCCCTGATTAGTTCCTTCTTATTGGTTGTGAAATTGTGAAGTCTTGAGGTATCATGTGGACCTTCCAAACCAATTGCTGGCTACTGTCACCTGAACCAACTACCCGTGGGTAATCTGTTAATTTTTCCACAAACAGTCATTGGTGTGGGTTACAGGAGAGTGTGGGTTATACAATAATTTTCAAGCTTCTGGTTTAGATATAAAACTATAAGCAGGAAAAAAAACAGATGATAAGATCCACTAAAGATACTCTTCAAAAAACCTGTGTAATAACTCATTTATTTCGCACAGATTGCTCATTATTATAAGAGACTTTAATGCTCTCGATGAAAGCCCGATGCAAATCGAAAACCTACCTTAAAACTTGATAACAAAGCTTTTATATTGTTTATACTCTTACTTTCTTATCTTGTCAATTTCACAGCTTGTTTCTTTGTTAAGGTCAAAAAACAATTCTCACTTACACGGGAAGTGAACTTGAAAATAAAAGAATTTAACTGTGAAAAAGCTGGCTTCGGAGCAATTCACACAGAAAATGATGCCAACTTGTTCGTTTCATGGCACTGTATAATTGATGACATGACAGAATATTAGACGCTTTGGTGAAATTTTCTTAGCTTGCACTGCCTTGAGTTAAAGAGTATTTTCCTGTTTCAAGTGATTTCTCCGACACAGTTGATCTCAAGATATTGATTTTTTGTTGGGAACAGATTTTTTCAGGTGGTATCATTTTCAATGAAATAGCAAAGACAAAAAGTGTGAAAATTTATTAACTGCACACTAAAGATTTCATGTCAACAGAAACAATGAAGGAACTTTGTGTGAGTGAATGATTTTCTTTTGTTTTTGGGTGCGGTTTATCTGCCAGTGTGGGTAATCTGTTGAAATTTTTTTCTCGTAATTGCAAAAATTGACTGGTGTGGGTAATCTGAAGTGTGGGTAAATGGACGAAAATTAGGGTAATTTCTGAGCATAGTTTCTGATTTTGATTGCCAGAAGGGTGACTTTGTAAGCTTGGAGCACTGTGCAATGAAACAATTTTGTTTTCAGCCCCATTCAGAACAATTTGGTGGCTAAAGAAATCTAGGTTTTTACTTAATTTTCAGCTCAAAGTAAAGTACTTAAAAAGTGAATTTTCAATGACATATCTTTGACCCCAAAACACGACTAGCATTTTATTCCTCCTTTCAATATCAACCCTGAATCACGCATTGAGGTTACTTCCCACCTTTGCAGGTGTTCTTTAGGTCAAAATTCTTATGCAAACTAGTTTCACTAAAATCCCAGCAAACCATACATCAGAAGAAAGCAAAATATAAATTCAGTTTACTATAAAGAATATGATTTGAGCAACATTTATTCTAAGGAAGTGTCAGGAGCTGGTAAGTTGTGAAATGACTTAAGGTTCTTCTATTGAATTTATTGAGTATTGGATGCCACAGCACAAGCAAAATTGCTGCACAGTCTTATTAACAAGGCATCAGTCAATGAAAGTGAGTCGGGTTTTTTCGATATTCTGATAAGTTGTCTAGATATCAGCATCTAAAGTTGGAGTAGCTAAAAAATATGTAAGGTGTGTTGCCTCAATGGACACCATGGGACAAATATTTCAATTATCAAAATTTCCCAACACAGTTTCGTTTGTCATTATTCCAGGTGAAATTTATTGAAAATTGGTCAAATCCATATACCCTAAAAATTTGTTCAAAGTGGTTGTATTCCTCCCAAAATCAAATGCCAGATTTCAGCTCATAAAGGTTTGCAAACAACTCGTGCTATGCCAGGAGATTATCCTGTCTCCTGAAACCGCAAACCAATGGGACAGTGGGACCTCCTGGCGTCAATGACAAAGGGTCAAGATTTCCCAGGAAAAGTCACCCATTGCAGAAACTTTTTTTTTTTCAATATCTTGATTGCTCAGTAGAGCACTGAGGAGGACCACACAATAATGAGCAAAGTTGCCAAAGGCAAAGGCAAGGGCAAAGGCAATATGTGTAACAAAAATGGAAAAACTGCAAAATGTGCTGAGGAGCAAGACAATGAATAGACAGCTTTCAATTTATGATTTGTGGCAATTTGTAATGTTTTGTATCAAGGTTGGTACTTGCATAAATGAAAGGAAGCCTCATTTTTAACATTATAGATGGCAAATTTTTGGTTTGACAGCAACTTCTTTGTTTGAAATCTGGATGCTAGCATGAAGCTCTACCAGTACTTATAGCTGTCCTAAAGGAATCTTTTCCTTCTCTTGACTGAATGGTACTCTTTCTTCTCTTGGGCCTGTTTTTTTTTTCTTTTTTTTTCACTAAGGACTTTCTTCTGCTTTAGATTTTTGCATGAGTAAAGATCTCCTTATAAGCAAAGAGCTTTCACATGTGAATTTTTAAAGTGCATGATGTAAACAAGATATGGAAATAACATGAAAAAAAAGCCCCAAGATGAGCAGTTGCTGCAAAAATTCTCCAGGTCGGAGATCATGACACCTTCCTGTTTTTAACTTTCAGTTGAAAATACATTTTTCTAAATTTCTCAGTTGCTTTTAAAGATTTCAGAAATCTTTTGTTTTGGAAATGTTTGATGGATTGTTTGAATTCAGTTAACTCAAATAAAAGAAAAATCGATTTTTTCAGCCTCTGAAGGTGGGAAGTAACCTTAAGGTCATGAGAAAAGAGAAAATGATCACAAACTAAAAAAGCTCTTGATTTTTAAACAAATTCTCCTTGTTAGCACATAAGGAAATATCTAGAAAACAGTATGGAGATTATGCAAACTGATATTAGGGTCATATTTGTCCTTAGTGATCAAGGCCAAGTATGTACAAGTGTTTACAAAGGATTATGGACTTTTCACTTCTTGAGTACTAATATGTATATTTGCATGAAGATCATTGTCAAGATGTCAAATTGCAGTCAACCAGTTAGCTGCAATTTCAGGCTCTGATTTTCCTGCTACTGCATTTCTTAATGAAAAACTTCTTTTTCATAATTCAGAAATGGCAGAATTCATGAAGTTAGTGGCCAAAAATTCAAGTGGGATGGAAATGACTGTTGAGGAGCGCAACCTACTGTCTGTTGCATATAAAAATGTGATTGGGGCTAGAAGAGCAGCATGGCGCATCATATCTTCCTTGGAGCAAAAAGGAAAAGACAGCGGAAAAGAAAGCGGAAAAGATCATGGCAAGGTCGAGACTTTAAAAAAATACAAGGAAACAGTTGAAGGCGAACTTCAAAGCATCTGTGATGAAATTCTTAGTCTCTTGGAAAAGGACCTCATTCCTAACTCCCAAGATAATGAGGCTAGGGTTTTCTTTCATAAAATGTGAGTTACATGTTAAGTATATAGTCTACATAGCTTACAGGGAGAAGCAATTCAACTTTCATGTCAACTTTTTGGTGAATTAATCTGTAATTTTTTGCTGCATAGTTTTATTGGAAACCTCGATGCTGTAACATACTTCAATTTTTTTATTTTCTCTGATTAAATGAAAAGGTAAATGTTCTTTATCTTGCAGGAAGGGTGACTATTTCAGATATCTAGCTGAAATAGCTGAAGGTGAAAAGAAAGAAGAGGCGAAAAAAAGTGCTTTGAACGCCTATGATGCTGCAGTTGAAATCGCAAAGGATAATCTTGCAGCAACATGCCCAATACGTCTGGGTTTGTTCTTAAATTTCTCTGTATTTCATTATGAAATCAATGATGACCCAAAAAAAGCCTGTAATATTGCGAAGGAGGCCTTTGACAATGCCATCAGTGATCTGGATAGCCTGAGTGAAGACTCGTACAAAGACAGCACTTTGATAATGCAGCTTCTACGTGACAATTTGACTCTGTGGACTTCTGATACAGAAAGTAAGTCTTTTATGATTTTTTTGTCAACTTGTTCAAATTCCTGTCCTAAGGAAAAATATATGGAGTACAATTCATCCACTAATTTGGCTGCCTTGAAGCACACTGTACTTTTGAAGTGCCCAGAGGGTAGGTGCAGCAATCCAGTGTTTACAACACATTTTGAGCATTGTGAAGGGTTAAGATTTTCCAGACTTTGCAGATTGTTCCCAATCAGCCAATAAATGATCCTATGGTGAAAAGTTAAATGTATCAGATCTGTGCTTCATTCAACAAACTGAAATGCGCTGCATGGAGGTCAAGTGACATTTTGTATTCCTCCTCTTTGCTTTGACTTGAAATACCCACCCTCATTTAAATATACAATCTAGTGTGGAAGAAAATATGAAAATATGATGTTTTTTTTTTCCTGTATGCACTGAAAGTTTGAAAAATTACTTTGAGAAATCTGATCACAAACCAAATAACTTGTTTGACAAAGTAACCCAAATTTCCATAGAATTTGTTCAACAATCAAGAGCTTCTTCAGTTGGTAATCATTTCCTTTATTGTTGTGACCTTTACATTTGATTGAAGGGTGATACTGTGAGGAGAAATTAGAAACTAGAATCCAGTCACTCTTCGGAGTTAGATTTCTAATAAAAAAGTATCCCATTTGGTGGTGTAGCAAAACTTCCTGTGGCTTCTTGCTTAGGGTTTAGGGTTAAACCATTAGGCTTAGGCTCAAGAAAAGACCGATTTTTTTAGTCACTACTGTAAAG